AGTTGTAGTCCTCGCGGCAAAAGGCATCCCTTCTTCCCCCGCCGCACCTTTCCTATCCCTCCCCGCTCTCCCCGCTCACCGCTTCCTTCGCCGCCGTCCACGCCACCCCCTCCGCCGTGCCGGCTCTTTGGATTTTCCCTCTCTCTCTCTCTCTCTCTCTCTCTCTCTCTCTCTCTCTCTCTCTCTCTCTCTCTCTCTCTCTCTCTCTGCCCCTTCTCGCTCTCTCACCTAACTGTCCTCCCTCTGCCCCGATATTCTCTCTCTCTCTCTCTCTCTCTCTCTCTCTCTCTCTCTCTCTCTCTCTCTCTCTCTTTCTCTCTCTCTCTGATACAAACGTGCTCCCTCTCATTCTCTATCACGGTCTCTCTTTCACTTTCTCCGTCGTTCTCTCCAACGTCTTCCTCCCTTCTCATCCATAACATACCGACGAATCGCAGTTCTCTTCGTCTAGTGTGTTTGAACTTTCTCTTTCTTCCGTATACGCTCTGTCGTTCCTTCCTTCTCTCTCCCGCTAAAAGAACTCTCGTTCTCTCTCGCTCGCCTTAACGGGCATTTGTCCTTCTTTCTCCCTCTATATATGTGTATGTACGTAACTATCATTCTCTTCTTCTACCCAATGTTTCTCCCTCCTCTCTCCCTCTCTCTCTCTCTCTCTCTCTCTCTCTCTCTCTCTCTCTCTCTCTCTCTCTCTCTCTCTCTTGCTACTCCCTTCTTCCCCATCCAAATGCTTGGCCGCCGAAACGCAAGTCTGTCTCCCTACCTCTCTCTCTCCTTCGCACGCTCACTCTGGTCTCTCCTCGGCACACCAATCCCACCACCTTTGTCGAAGCGGCTCGAGACAGCCAACCAAATTTGAGACGACGAACACTCCTTGCCCCCACCAAGCTTTCGTCTCCCCCTTCCGTGCCCTTTCCACCGTTTTGGTCGTTCTCTTCCTTTGGCTTTACACACACACACACACACACACACACTCTCTCTCTCTCTCTCTCTCTTTCTCACCCTCTCTCTCTCTCCCTCCCTCCCCTCTCTCATCGTCTCGCACTCTCTCAGTTCCACCTTCACCCCCTCGATGCGAAAGAGGACGAATCCTGCAGGATGCTACGTGTCTCCTCTCTCGCAAGTTCCTCTTTTTCGGGCTCGATGCGCTCTCTTTCAATTCTGATACCCACCCTCACCTCTCTTACATCTCTCACCTTCCCTCACGTCCCTCACGATCCTTCGTAGTGACTCGTCTTCGTTGTGTTAGAGCGAGCAAGACAGCGTGTGCATGGTACGAGAATCCTTGCTCGTCCACACGTCCGTGTATCCTCGAGACGTTGTCCTTAATCACCAAACTTTATACGGCGAGATTTTTCGCCAACCCTTTCTCGAAGCCCTTTACGTGAGCTTCCGAGTTTAAGATACACTGACTCTTCGGAGAAATCTACGATGATTCTTTTGTGCGGCCACATGTGTGAGAAAAAAATGTTTCTTCACGGCATTTCAAGTGTTGCGCTATAAAACAAAGTCATTATACCGTAGAAACGTAACGTATTGACGTATTGAAAGTGAAGCGTAACGTTGACGTATTGAAAGCGAAGCTTTCTCTTTTGTGAGAGTTACAGACGTTTTCTTCACTGAAGTTTCTAAGACTTATTTTTACACGCAGATTGATAGGTATAGATTTACTGTGCATTCTGGCAAAACTTTTCTCGAGTTTCTGTAGGGCAACGCGCCATCGGAGGAGTAAATACAATCTCGGTGGCAATTAACGTGTTAAAGGGATCATCGGTGGGCCTCGGCTCTGCCCGCCGAAAAATTTCGCTATTCTCGACCGCCTCCCGAAGATCACCCAATTCCGTCGAGTAATAAACGTAACTCTCGACAGTTCACCTAACTTTTTATTAGGTCGAGCCACCATGCCCTCTCGTAAGTGCCTGCATAAAAAGCGCGAGGGCATTATCCCGCGATAACCAAACTCTTTTTCTCACCCTCCAGCGCCTCCTCCGCCCGCTCGTTACCCTATCCCTCTCACTCTCTTATCACAGACCCGCTCCGCTCCGTCCTTTTCTTCCTTTCGCGAGAGCGCCCCTCGCCGCGGAGCGGTTTGGTTGAATGAAAAAAAGGAAACAAAGCGAAACAAAAAATGTGGGTAACCTTGCATTTTTTTATGATACCTTTTTTTCACGCTCGAGCTCGGCTCCTCGGCCCGTGCACTTTGCATACGGAATGCGACAAGTTCCTCTACCCCCGCCTCTGTCGCCCTTCGTCCTCGCCCGACCCGGTTGCGCCATCCCCCGCCGCCGTTGCCGCCGCTGCTGCCGCCTAACCCTTTGCGCCAACTATGAATATGTTTATTGCATTGCGTGGCGGCCACCTGATGCAGCAGCGGGGGGAAGCCCGCCACGTGTGTGGGCGATGCGCGGCACGTGGTGTCGCGAAGAATGAGCATCGCGACCGGCCGGCCGGCCGGCCGGTCGATTCTGGGAGGGAGGAGGGGGAGGGGGGGGCGCGCGATCGCTATTATTTAACGCCGCGGGATGAAGAAAGCGCGAGGGATTATAACGGTGCCCGGACGCGAAATAGTCGATACTGACTATTCACGGCCGTCCCGGGGGAGAGAAGCGCAGGACCCTCGTCGACTCGGTGTCCGCGGCGATCTCGGCACTGGAAGCAAACTGTGAGCGACTACGTCCGGGCGAGACGAAAAAAATTCTTGTCAAATGCAATTATAGCACAATTATCGCTCTCGGCACCGCGTTCTTATTATTGTTCCACTTTTGTATCTGATAGCTTTATCATACCTTACCACGCCTGCATCTCAGACGCTTGCGCCACCACACAGCTCTGTCATGACGGCTTTGACGGCGGTCTTAAATTTCCTCAACGCGCCGAGCGACCCGCAAACTCGTCTCCGGGATCAACGATTGCAATGGAGAAGCACTTGTGCGCTTCTCCTCCCAACCCCCCCCCCACCTCCTTCTTCGTCTCTCTTGTTCGCGCGCGACATCTCGATTCGTTTCTAATCATTCCGGAGCATTTCGCGGTCACCTCTAATCAAATTCCCAGTCCGGTATCCTCCTTTTCTCTCTCTCTCTCTCTCTCTCTCTCTCTCTTTCCTTTTTTTCTTTTTATTTTTCTCCTTTGTTCTACAATTCCCGCGCCACCGGCGCGTCGAAATACGGTGAAAAGACCGTCGGCCAACAGTGAGGGTGGCGGTAGATTGAATCAGCCTAAGCAGCAGCCACCCTTCTACGGATTCCGCCCTGGCAACTGCCCTTCCCTCCTGCTCCCCCCGCCAACCCTCCCGCGCCTCCGTTCTCTACCACTCGGCATTTTCGAGGTGGACGCCGAGCTGACCGAACCACTATCAGCGAGATATTCGCTGGCGTGGCGTTTGCGCCCCATTTTATTAAGGAAATCCCACCCCGGCGGCCGAATCTCTCTTCATGCCCCCGCGGCCCATCGTGTCACCAAGTCCTACGGCGTAGGGAAGAGTTCTCCTCTCGTAACACGTGCGACGACGTGCATCTTTGTCCTTTTCTTCCGTCGCGTGCTGTTCTCTCTCCTTCCCTTCTCGCTCCCATGTCGCTCTTTCTCACGTTTCTCCCTGTCTCTCTCTCTCTCTCTTTCTCTCTCTCTCTCTCTCTCTCTCCCTCTCTTTCTCTCTCTCTCTCTCTCTCGCGCGCGCGCGCGCGCGCGTCCGAAACGGAATTGTTTTCCCAGAGAATTTTTCTCGCGAATACAAGAAAGAAGAGAGGAGAGAACGGCGACTTTGCGATATCGATCGTCGAGAACGACGCGTGTAACGAGAGTTTAATTCGCGTCGCAGTCGTGGACAAAGTCGAGGAGCCCGTCTCTCCCGTGTTTTTCGCGCCGACCGAACTTCCCAATCGCAAACTCCGGTCATTATTCAACTCGTGATTAACGGGCCGCGGGTCTGTGGCGCGTCTCCGCGCGGCGCTAGAACGCTCGTTACACGCCGCGCTAACGGGCATGATTCGCGCCAGCGCGGATAATAACGCGGGACAGCCCCGCGCGCAATTTTTCCGCGGCATGACGCGGGGAGGCCCCGCAGACCGCAATTCGCGCGGCCAATCTCACGGACGAGACGACACGGAGGACGACAAGTCTGCTCGCGAACCGGCGCGGCGCGGCGCGGTGCGGCGCGGCGCGGGCGCGCGGATCGTGAGGAGTAATAAAAATATTTCGCGAGCTCGGCAACGGGGCGGCGGCGCGGCGGGACGACAGACGAGGCGTCATTAAAGGAAATTATAACAAAGTGGTTCCTCCGCGACGTCGGGGCTGTCATTTGGCGGCGCGGGGCGAGAGTCCGCGGGACGAGAAGGCGGACGACGTTGAAGAAGGACGAATAGAAGGGCTGAGTCAGTTCGCGCGGAAAACGAATTGAAATTTTAATCGCCCACCCGTACCCCACCGTTAAATGCGTCCGCCACCTTGCCCGCTCTCTAACCTAGCCTTCTCTGCGGCGCGACCCTCGCTAACCCCTGTCCTCCTTTTTCCGTCTCTCTTTTTTCTCCTCTCCTCTTCCTCCTCTCTCTCTCTCTCTCTCTCTCTCTCTCTCTCTCTCTCTCTCCTCCTCGTCTGCTCCTGCTCCCGCGCTCCTGCTCCTCCACCTCCGCCTCCGCCGCCGCCTCCGCCTCCGCCTCCGCCTCCTCTCTTTCTCTTCCTTCTACGCCTCTCCTCTTCCTCGTGCTGGAACGCGAGCTAAATGCTTTTACGCGCGTCGCTATTATGTCCCGGCTGTGTCCTTCTCCCGCTTTTAAGCTCGTGTTTATTCCTCACCCGACGCTGGACATTTTTCTCACCGAGCGGCGCGAACGCGCCCGCGTCCCGCGTAAAGAGACTGCATAACGCGATAATCAGACGCGGCTCTCCCGCACGTTCAATTCGTGATTTAGCCCGTCTAGGGTTGCACCGCGCGAGCGGAACGGGCCACTCGCGAGCGCGATGAAAGTCGGCAACAAAGTCGTAAAAATGCGAAACGATAAAGCCATTAG